CTCTCTCTCTCTCTCTCTCTCTCTCTCTCTCTCTCTCTCTCTCTCTCAATCAAGAGACTGAACCTGAGGCCTTGTGCATACTAAGCACATGCTTTTCATTGACCTACATCCCTCTCTGTATAAAACTCTTATAAATATTTTTGGTATGTGCTTTCCAAAGTAGGTGCTTTCACTGTAAAGGAAAGGGGTATTTTTCTTCATCTTTGTACATACTTACCTGTGCACAGTCGCCTCTTTCTGGCCACTGAGCCCACGGAGCTTCCAGGTCCTCTGGTGTCTCTCACCAGACAGTGCTGGTAATAGAGCCAAGCTTCTTATCCCGGCTCAAACGATAACACAGGGAGATGGAGTGACTCCTTACTCTGATAAATTTGTATCATTAAGTGGGAAAGCGGTGCTTAGTAGCTGTGCTGGATGGTTTTGTGTGTCAACTTGGCACAAGCTAGAGAGGACAGAGCCTTAGCTGAGGAAATACCTCCAGGAGATCCAGCTGTAAGGCATTTTCTCAACCAGAGGGCCCCACCGATTGTAGGGATTGTGGGTGGTGTCATCCCTGGGCTGGTGGTCCTGGGTTCTATAAGAAAGTAGGCTGAGCAAGCTAAGTGAAGCAAGCCAGTAAGCAGCACCCCTCCATGGTCTCTGCATCAGCTAGTGCCCAGATAAACACAAGACTCTGCCTGAATTCACCATCTGGCTAATAGAAATGCAGGTTGTTTGTTTGTTTGTTTGTTTGTTTGTTTGGAGGGTTGATGAAGAGGTTTCTTTGACTAAATGCTTTGGAGAACATGGTGAGATAACATCAAGAGGTGTCTTCAAAAATGAATGCAATTCTCAGATAGGGAGAAAGTCATTCCAGGTAAAGAGGTCAGCTTGGGCAAAGACCTCCCACCCAAAAGGACGCCCCATTGAGCATCTGCTCATAAGGTGTGACCACTCAGGTGTGTTTGTCAAAATAAGTAACTAGAACAATCTCTCTGTGTACTCATAGGAGGGTAGTCAAAGGAATTATGGTGTGTTTAGCCAAATGGTCATATGGGAAAACAAATCAAGTAGAGATTATAAAAAGATTAATGTGGGGAAAAATAAAGTAACAGATATTGAATGGAAGAAAGAAGGCTATAGAATGTTGAGAATAGCATAACGATTAAAATGCACAAAAATATATTATTTGTGAATATGTACTTTTATGATATTTTGATAGTCATCACATTTTGATACCTACTTTTAATTTCATAATGTCTTCAAGTGAAAACAGTAGTGCGATGAACAACTAATTCAGTACATTGCAGCTGTTGCTGGGGAGAGAATGGTTTCGACTGCAGCTGTTCAGATAGGGAGACTGATCAAGAGAAAGCTGCACACACTTACACTCACGCACATACTTAAAATCTGAAGTAAATAGAGCGCACTAAGATTTGGCAAGCCCCCGTTTATTGTCTGTGTTTCTATACACTTGAACCATTTAATAATTTTAAAATGGAGAACATGGACGTCAGTGGCACACACCTGGACCCACAGTACTTGGGAAACAGGCAGATGTTCAAGAGAGAAAGTCACAGTGCACAAGGAACAGCCCACGGTGTCTCATGTCCCTTGGAGCCCAGCGTGCTGCGGTGGCGGGAACATAACCATCAGCTCAAGAGCAACTTGTGCTACTAAGTGAGCTCCAGGCTATCCTGGGAAATGATGGAAAACAGATGTCAAACAAATAAACCACACACGCACATACGTGCATCCGTACACACAGACGTAGACACATGCATACGTATACCTACATGCACACACACAAACACACATGTGCACATACACACATACATACATGTACACATCTACGCATGCAAACACACACACAACACACACACACACATACGGTGACAGAGGAGAGAGATAGAGAGAGAGATCTGGCCTCTGGCATTCTGTTCTGTTTACTCTCCTTTGTCCTGCATGACTTCAGAAGAGGATGACTCCCATGGACGTGGAGAACCGGGGCTGGTCATGGACTGCTTTGACTGCCAGGCTCAGGAATATGAGCTTTAGTGGGCAGCTGGGAGTCAGCAGAGGCGGCGGGGCACGTTGTTTTTAGGAGCCGAATTTTAGCCAGTCAAATAAACTAGAACTGGAGCTGAGAACAGTCAGGAAACTTATCACCATTGGTGTAGCTGAAGGAGGATACAAGTCTGTAGACGTGAAATAAAGCAGGAGTGGCAGGTTTTCTCTGCAGCCATTCTGCCCAGAACATGCTTTATCTCGTCAGAAAGGACAGTTTGGTTTGGTTTGTTTTTTGAAACAGGATTTCTCTGTGTACTTCTGGAACTTGCTCTGTAGACCAGGCTGTCCTCAAACTCACAGAGATCCACCTGCCTCTAGCTCTCGGAAGCTGGGATTAAAGGTGTGTGCCACCACAGCTACCACCCAGCTCAGAAAGGACAGGGTTTTTTATATGCTAAGAATTATTTAAGTCTTTTCTTTTCTTTTTCTTTTTTTTTTTTTTTGCTTATTTTATTTTTTGCTTTTCGAGACAGGGTTTCTCTGTGTAGCCTTGTCTGTCCTGGACTTGTTTTGCAGACCAGGCTAGCCTCAAACTCACAGAGTGCTGCATGCCTCTGCCTCCTTGAGTGCTGGGATTACAGGTGTGCATCACCGCACCTTGCAATTATTTAAGTCTTAATGACTGAAAGTTTTTAAGGGAAGTCGGAGGTAAGGAAAGGAGACTGGCTTCTTTGTTTTTGACACATTTCTACTAGGAGCAGTATTGCCACTTTGCTTTAAGGCTTAAGAACTCTGTGTCTCAACTATTCTCACAGTCAAGTGTCACATCCTAGGGTGAAGGGATATGTTTGTAATAGGGTGCTTGCCTAGCAAGCTCAAGGCCTTAGGTTCAATCGCCAGTACTATCCTAAATTCAGTTCATTAATTAAAATCATGAATGTTTGAACAACTTCCTTATCCATCTCAGCAAAGCTCACAATTCCAAGTTAAGGAAAGCGAGCTATTTATAGCGTAATGCTAAGATAGTGTTATAGACTGAATGTGTTCTCCCAAATCCTTATATTCAAATCCTCATCCCAACATCAGGGTGTTAGGAGATGAATGATGTCTATGACCTTATACAAGACACCTTGAAAGCTCCGTGTCCCTTGTGCCTTGCGGGGGCCCAGCTAGGAGAGGGGTGTCTGTGAGTCAGAAGTGACTTTTGCCTGTTAATGCTTCATTTTTGGCCTTCAGACCTCCACAGCTGGGGGAAAAAAAGTTTGTTGTTTAAAAACCACTTGGTTTGTGATATTATGCTACCCCCAACCTGAAATGCCTAAGGTTTAACAGGACTTGACCAGTTCTGATTGAGGCTGTCCTCAATGTCACAGAGAGGTTCTATCCGAACCTAAGTTTAAAAGCAGGAAGCAGGTTTTGCCAAGCAGAGTGGGGTACAGCGGCATTGGCCGTGTTGAGTGAGTGGCTTGCCCAGGGAGCCAGGGACAGGCTGTTCTGGCTTTCTCTCTATGCACCAAGAATAAGAAATTAGCTCTTCTCTCCTCTCCAATGTTATTAGCCCTTTCCCTCCCCTACCTAGTTCTCCATTCCCTGAATCTTTATTAGGCATCTTGGAACACTAAATTACCAGTGATAGGAGATGAAGACTAAAAGCAAGCTGGCAGTTTGAAATTCAGTCAGGAATTTAAATAGTGCTGTGGATTTCCTCTGTGTAGACGAACCACGCACAGATTCTAGTGTCCAATACACACATTGTCTCCTTTTGTAAAACAGACTGCAATTTCATTGCCTAAACTGTCACTGCTTTTGTATGGATGCGAGCAGGAGTGTGTCACAGACCACCTGTGAAAGTAAAGGGGCAGCCTTTGAGAGTTGGTTCTGTCCTTTCACCGTGCAGGTATCAGGAATTGAACCTAGGTCGTTAGCCTTGGCAGCAAATGCCTTTACCCACTAAGCCATCTTGCCAGCCACCATTACTTTTAGTTAGCCCTACCCGAATCTTGCTATGTAGCCCAGACTAGTCTGGAATTCACCAAATAGGCCAAGCTGGCCTTGAACTCATGGCAGTCTTCCTGCCTCAACTTCCCAAGGGCTGGGATTATAGATATGTGCCACCTATTGCATTGACTGTATCTTTAGATACCGCAGGCAAAGGGTTTCTTATTTTACTTTGTCTTTGAATAGTTGTTATCTACTCATGAATCCTGGCGTTCCTTTACTCTGCTAATCTACAAACAGGAGAAAGGAAGAACAAGTCTGTGTTACAGCCTCAGTGAGCTTGGGCGGGAGGGACAAAGCTGTTTATACAAGTAGCATGTGCATCTGGCCATAGCATGGAAACCAGGTGGGCAAGTATTCCATGAGGGAAAGAAATCAAAATGGCCTCCTGGTGATTCAGAATTGAACTAAAGCCACCTTCAAGTTATCTAAAGGGAAAATGAGAATCATGTGGCTTGCTCAAATTGATAGCAAATCAAATGGTCAGATCTGGGGACCCTCTGAAGAGCGTACCCTACCAAACCTTGTAGAAGTGTTGATGCAAACAATAGGGTTGCTAGAGGAGACAGCTGTCTGTGTGGTGTTCCAATTCCACTCTAAGAAAGCGAGGACATCCCCGAGATCGGCCCCCATCAGTGGACATGAGCAGCTCCCTGCAGTTCACCCCAGCTGGCCCAGGTCCCGGCAGGTTTGCGGATCCGTGGAAGCCTGCCTGGCAGAAGCTAGCACAAGCTGAGAGGCTGTGTGACTTGCAGCCAAACCACACCCAGGGAAGCCAGTAGCTGTGCTCCTGAGGGAAGTCTGTGGAGACTCCCTGTCCCTAGCCTTTAATTAGCAGGTGCTTCAGACAGCAGGGTAAGCCCTGACCCAAACAAGAAGTC